AGCCTTCCTTATCTTTTCATTTCATAAAATAGTTTGAGGGGCATTGGTGCTAGTCCTTCTTTAAAAGTTTGGTAAAATTCAGCAGTGAACCCATCTGGTCCTGGGCTTTTCTTTGTTAGCTGTGTTTTTATTACTGCTTCAGTCTCATTGCTTGTCATTGATGTAATCTTGGTTCATTTTTGATAGGTCATATATGTCTAGAAATTTATCCGTTTTTTCTAGATTCTCCAACTTATTAGCCTATAGGTTTTCAAAGTAGTCCCTAATAATTTTTTGTATTTCAATGCTATTTTTGTAACCGCCCCCCCCTTTTCATCTCTAATTCTATTGATTTGAATCTTCTCTCTTTTCATTTTGGTTAGTTTGGCTACAGGTTTTTCAGTCCTGTTTCTCTCTTAAAAGAACCAATGCCGAGGGCCGGGAATTTAGCTCAGTGGTTTCGCTGCCTGCCTCGCAAGTGCAAGGACCGGAGTTCAATCCCCGGTGCCAAAAAAAAAAAAAAGAACCAATGCCGGGTCGAGGATTTAGCTCAGTGGTTCTGCCGCCTGCCTAGCAAGCACAAGGTCCCAAGTTCGATGCCTGGTACCAAAAAATAAAAATTAAAAAAAAAAAAAGAACCAACACCATTTCATTGATCATTTGTACTTTTTTTAGTCTTTTCTAATGTATTATTTCTTTCCTCCTGTTGGGTTTGGTTTTAGTTTGTTCTTGTTTTTCTAAGACCTCAAGATACATCATTATTTATTTGAAATATCTTTGATTTTTTGATATAGGCACTTATGAACTTTCCTCTTTGTACTACCTTTGCTATATCCCACAATTTCTGGTATATTGTGTTTCCATTTTCATTTGATTCTAGGAATTTTCAAATTTCTTCTCTCCTTTTTTCAATGATCCATGGATTATTCAAAAATGACTTGTTCAATTTCCATGTGTTTGCATAGTTTCTGTGGATTCTCCTGCTATTGTTTGCTGGTTTTATTCTATTATGATCTCATAAGATCCAAGAAATTTTTTCAATTTTTTGTATTTGTTAAGGATTGCTTCATGGCCTAAAATACGATCTATTTTGAAGAACATTTCATAAGCCACTGAGAAAAATGTGTATTCTACATTCATTGGATGAAATACTGTGTAAACATCTGCTAAATCCATTTCATCTATAATATTGTTTAACTCGGATGTTTCTTTGTTGATTTTTAGTCTGAATGATCTATGAATTAGTGAGACTGGAGTATTAAAGTCACTCACTCTTACTATATTGGGACCTATGTGTCCCTTTATGTCAAGTAGTATTTGTTTCATCGAATGGGGTATATCATGTTCAGTGCATATATCATAATAATTGTTATATCTATTGGTGGATTATTCCTTTTAGTATATATAGTGACTTCTTTATCTCATCTGACTAATTTTGTCCTGAAGTCTTCTTTGTCAGACGTGAGTACAGTTACACTGGCTTGCTTCTGGGTTCTATTTGTATGGAATATTGTTTTCCATCCTTTCACTTATAATCTGGATAAATCTTTGCTAGTGAGGTGTGTTTCCTGCAGGCATCAAATGTTGGGTCTTGTTTTTTAATCCAATATGCCAGTCTGTGTCTTTTAAATGGAGATTTTGACTATTTACATTCAGAGTTACTGAAGGAAAGTATGTGCTAATTTCTATCATGTTCTTGCTTTTCTAATGTTTGATTCATTTTTGGTGGAGTTCTACTCCTCCTCTTCTGTATGTAGGATTGCTTTAAATATCTTCTACAATGTTGGCTTAGTGGTCATGAATTTCTTTAAGTCAAGTTATCTTGGAAAGTTTTTATTTCTTCTTCAATTTTGAAGGATACTATTGCTGGACGTAGTAATCTAGGTTGGCAGTTATTTTCTTTCAAGGATTGCAATACATCATTCTGTGCTTTCCTTGGCTTTAGGATTTCTACAGAGAAGTCTGCCATTATTCAGATGAATTTATCTGTATAAATGCCTTGGTGTTTCTTTCTTATAGCTTTCATTGTTCTTTCCTTTTTCTGTATTATTGATATTTGGAGGCATCTTCTGGTCATGCCTCCTTGGGGTCTAAATGCCTCCTGTACCTACATGTCTATATCTTTCCAAAGATTCAGAGTTTTCTGTTATTACTTCATAAAACAGATATTCTATCCCATTTGTCTTAATCTTGGCACCCTCTTCTACACCAAAATTTCATAAGGTAAATCTTTTATCCATGTCTTGGAGTTCTTGATTGTATAGTCCATAATTTCTTTATATTTTCTTTACTAGTGTCTGCATGTAATAATTTTTCAACCTCATCTTCAAGCCCTGAAATTCTGTTTTCTGCTTGGTCCTGACTATCAGTAAGGCTTTTAACTGAATTTATTATTTAACTTATTGAGCTTTTTATTTCTAGAACTTCTGTTTGTTTCTTCAGAATCTCTATTTCTTTGTTGAATTCTTCCTTCATATTCTGCATTGTTTCATTCAGCCATCTGTATCCTATCTCCAGTCAGCTTTATGACCTGCAAGCACCTAAGTTGTACCACTTGCTCCAGAAAACCCTGTCCATACACCCAGGAATGTGCCAAACATCCAAGTAGAAGTATATTCCTAATCATGCTGGTGGGTACAGAAAGCAAACAGAACAATGAGTTATGTGCTGGAAGGAAGCAGGAAGGGGAGTCAAATGATCCATTGCACTCAATCTCAGAACTTTCAGAGCCAGCCCCCTCAGAAATCCGCATGCAATAGGCCTGACTTCTCACCACAGGAAGAGGTACTGCCAACCACAGTGTCTTCCACATCCTGAATTCCTAGCTACTTAAGTTTCTCAGGGGATCTGTGACTAGCCCTCCCCCTTTCCTTGACTGTCTCTTGTGGTCATCTCTCACCCAGTCACTGCGGTATGGTCACCGAAGAGATCCTGAAATGTGGTTGTTCTGTGACTTCTGATACCTGGCGCAGCTTAGCATTAAACAATAAACTCTTTGTCAAAATGGCTCCTGTTTATACTACTTTTAAGTATGGTATGCACTGCTATGGATTTCCTCTCCAAAGATATCCTACTATGCAAAAGGAGTCACATTCAGAGTAAAACCCCACACTGTATTAATAGCTTACAATAACTGTGAGTTGTTCCTAGGGTAGCACTGCCAGGTCCTTGTTTATCATGAGTCTGCTTGCCCTCTCCAGGCTACTATGTGCTTCCACAGTTAGCTTTCCCTCTTCTCTCTGGGGAGCTTGGGTAAACATTCCAGACTGCTTCATTCTTTTATATGAGTTGTCTTCTCTTTCTCTGTAATTTTCAGCTTTCTTGTTGGCTCTTTCTTGATTCTTGGAGCTCTTCTCTTTTTTCATATTAAGTAGGTGTTTTCTAGATTTCTTAGATACAAGTCCCGGAGAAACTTATCTGGGGCCAGTGTTCCACCATCTTGATTCCTCTCCCATATGCTTTAACTAATCTCTAAATTACTCAAATATTTAATCAACACAAATGTAATGAAAATAGTTATGTTGTATTTAGGGAATAATGACTAGAAGAAAAAAGTCTATACATATTCAGTACAGATGCATTTAAAAAAATAATATTGACAAGGTTTTGTTGCATCTGGGAATATGGAATGCACATATATAAAAGACCAACTGTACACTTAAATTGAAAATATACATGTATTCATGTAAGTATACACACAATAGTGTCATACTTGATTAGGCAAACGAAATATAACGTGGTTATCTTCTAGTCACAATGCTTATTCAACTTTTTGTGGCTCAGCTTATATTTCACTTACTCTCCTAATTAGGATTCTTATGAATGAGGATATCATAGTTGCCCTGTATGTCATGTGAGAATCTTTACTTCCAAAGTGCATCATCAGTGATATAATGAATGAACATAAAGTCAAAAAAGTGAAGCAAAATCAATACAAGAACTTCTCTCATAATGGAATAGATACATAACCCAGCACAAATAAAACTGTATAAATATTAAAAATCAGGCTTTCAAAATACCAATTAATGGGCTGGAGATTTAGCTCAGTGGCACCACCTGCCTCACAAGTGCAAGGTCCTGAGTTCAATCCCCACTAACAATAAATAAAATAAAATAAAATGTACCAAAAATACTAATTAGAAATAAAAATCAAATAATAGCATTGTTAAATTTTAAGACTTATCCACTAATATTAAGAATGTGATGAATACATAGTCTTCCATTAAGGCATAAATTTCCCTGTTATTCTATATTAAAAGTCGTATTATTCATATAAATATCTTCTAATACAAAATTACTCTTAGACCTCTATGGTAATTAAATCAAAGGAGCTAAAACTATGATTTTATTTGGAAAAAACTTCAACAATGACACACAAATGGTATCCTATTAGTATACCCTCAAGTTGCATTTTTAAAAGGAAAAGTTCAAAGGGAAAAATAAACAAAGTGAAGCTAAAAAAACACTCTTCTCAATAAGGATTAGAATTCATAGAATACATATTTTGATAAGACAATATATAAAAGAAATTGCTGATGATTGCAGAAACTATTTGATCTATTATATTCAGAAAAAATTTAATTTGTGAAAGTTAAGATATGAAATAATTGACTAAAAGATTAGAATTTTATTGGTAATACATGCCAATCTTCTGGGCCTGAATTATGTCCCAAGATTTGTTTTGTTTTTCTTAAAACGTACTACAAGGACGGCATGAATACAAAAGAAACAAAATGGAAGGTATAATAAATAAGGCAATACTTCTATAACAAATGTTATCACTAGTATGCTTTTTCAGGAACATCATAAAATTTCCAAGAAAATCTTCTCCCTCATTTTCAGCTTTATCCTTAACTTAATGATATTAATTTTCTGTAATTTAAAACTGTATCCATGGTCTACTGGTTGTAGTCTAGTAGTTCTTAACACAGAAGAAAAAAATAGCTATAATACTTATAGATCGACAAAATAAAATAAGCACAGCTACATTTAGAAGGAAAACTATTTCACTGATATCCTACCTTCTGGAAATGGTATTAGTGAAACATTTATGGCTGCAGGATTTGGAGGAGAGGGGCGATGAAGTTGGAGATAAGTTGAGAGGTGCAATCAAACTGTTGATGATCTCAGTCAACTGTGCACTCTGCAAGAAAACAATCAACATTACACTACTGTTAAACAAGAAATGTGAGTTATCTCTCAGACCTATAGTGGCTATTAAATGCTTAATATCTCACAAAATATGTAAATGAGTACATTTTCATAAATGTTTTAATCTATAAAGATGATTTACATTACACTGATTTTTCCATTTATTATAAACAAACCTGTATTTTAAAGTACCTACACTTTTCTATATCCTTTTTCTCCTATATCCTTTCTTAATAATTCCTTTATCTACCCATTCTATCCTCTAGAACATATGAAACCAGCTATAAACATCTATGTATTTCCTTTGAGATGACAAAATTAATAATAAAAATTCATAGCTATTTTTTATAAACGCCTACTGATATCACTACTAATGATAAGAACAGATGAGAAAATTATAGAAAAAAAAGAAAAACTAAGTAGATGAACAAGGGACATAAAGTTGGGAAGCAATAGAGCTAGGATTCAAATTCAGGCCTAATTTTACCATACCATTTCTCAATAATTTTCCCACTTCAAAGAAAATTGGCTTTTTTTTTTGGTTTTGTTTTAGGAAGAGAGCACCCAAAACATTCATTGACTTTTATCCTAAACTTAAATATATGTAAAAATTATTAAATTACTCTCAAAACAATCACAACATTATAATAAAGGTCACATAAATGGAAATTGTGTATTTCTACAAAAATATTTTCATTATACTTGTAACCCATGTTCATGGTAGAAAAATTAGAAAATATAGACATTTTAAAAACGAAAAGAGTACCCAACACTTTGGAAGCCTAAGGCAAGAGGATCACAAACTTAAGTCTAGCCTGGGTAACCTAGAAACTTAGCAAGACCTTGTCTCAAAATTGTGTGTATGTGTGAGTGTGTGTGTGTGTGTGTGTGTGTGTCCTGGGAGCTGGGGAGTATCTCATTGTGAAAGCTCTGAGGTCAATCCTCAGTAGTGGAAAAAATGTCACTTATAATCATATTACAAAGTTAACTATTGGTAATTTCTTGGTAATATATCATTCTAAATTTGCTGAGTACATGTAAGCATGAGTGTAAGCACAATATGTACACGTGTTTTAATAAAATTATGCACATAAATTATCTAAAACCTGTTTTTTCTTACTTAATGTACTGTGATTTTGTTTTTCAAATTATATGCTATGCAGAATTGTTTTATCATTTTCATAACTGCAAAATATTACATTTATATACCCCTGCTAAATATTTTTAGTCTTCATTTACATGAAACTAATATGATGTTATTAGAAATAATGAGATAAAGAATATAATATAACCTAAGCTAATATTTGATTCCTTAAAAAATTTCTTTCATGAAAAAGATCCTGCAATGTTTTCATCATTTATTTTCTTGTAAGAGAGTATGCAGTTAATGAGTTCATTTTGAAAATTTTTACACAGATAATTTTCCAATTAAAGTTCATTTTCAAATTCATCAATGTCAATAGATTTCTTTACCCATTTATCAACTATTCATTAGTTTAGTCATGCAATTAAATTAATGAAGAATCTCATATTTTCCAGGCTGCAACATGAAAGCACTATTTTCATTGTTCTACCTTCAAATACATTACCAAAAAGCTATTAACCCACTGGATGTCACTGGTCAAGTGTGTGTGATAAGTGGCAGAGAAGGACAGGATTTAAACAACTACCTTTACCTTAACAATGAGCAACTTTGGCCCAATCTCAAATACTTAAAGCTACATAGGAGGTGGGAAATTCACTGTAAAAATTACAGTAAGAAAAGTAAAATTAGGAGAGAAATAATTTGAACTCTGAAAACAAAAACTAATCAACTTTAAGTAAAACAAAAGTAGTATGTATTCATAGCAAGATTTTTAATGTAAATATTCCAGTAGTAAAATTTATTTTAAATCATCTGAAGTACTAAAATAAGGCATCTTTTTAATTTATAAAGAAAATATATTACTATGGCCAGCTCAGTGATTTAGCTCAGTGGCACTGCGTCTGCCTTGCAAGTGCAAGGTCCTGAGTTCAATCCCAGGTATCGGGGAAAAAAAATATTACTAATAATACAAGTAGTAATCTTATGAATCAAAAGTTATCTTCTAAAAATAATTTCAGTGTACAATTCAACAGTACATTTAGGTTTTAACTGCATTTCTAACTACTTAACTCAAAAGATTATCAAAAAAGAGTTGTACACCAATAAATTATTTTAACAAAAATATGCATAATATTAGGCTTGCCACCCCCAACACTTAATTCATTCCTAGACTGTTTTCCCTAAAAAAGTGTTTGAAAACAACTTAATTTTTGAAAAATTGATCCATAAAGCATTATCATCACCTTTTAAGAAAACAACCTGCTCATAGGCAATTTATTAATGACCTCTACAAGTGATTATTGCTGGCCTTTTAAAAATATTTTTCCTCTAAGCTAGGCATGGTGGCACACACCTGTAATCCCAGGACTCGGGAGGCTGAGGTAGGAGGATCACCATGAGTTTGAGGGCGGCTTGGGTTACATAGTGAGTTTTGAGACTTTGTCTCAAAAAAAAAAAAAAAAAAATAGAATAAATACATAAATATTTTTCCTCTACTCTGGTTATGTTAAGCTGTTACTTTTGGTTTCACAACTCCTGGCTTCTTTTATGGTTTGGATCTACAAGTTCTCCCAAGAATCTCAGGTTTAGAGGTAGTGCTTGGTCAGAGAAGGCAGGTCACTGGGGTATAGTCTCATCCACAGCACCTCCCTTCTCTCTCTGTTTCTTGTTTGCCATCACATGAGAAACTTTTCTCCATTATTCCCCTCTGCCATGTCATTTCTGCCTTGAAACTAATTGACAATGGAGTTTCTGCCTTGAAGCTAACTGACAATGGAGTGAAGCAAAACAAACCTCTCCTCCATTAAGCTATTGGTATGAAGTGGTGTACTTTGTTCAAGTACTGGGAAAGATGACTGATTCAGAAAATTGGTACTATGAATGAGGGTATTGCTGTAACTATATATGACTATGTGGTTCAAAATCCTTTGGTTTTCAGGAGGTATTTAGAAGTGTTTGGAGAGTGGGCTACAGAAGCCCTACAATGTTATGAGCAGTGTTTGATATGTAAAACTGGTTAGAGATCAAAAGACTAGAATATTGATGGGAATTTGGACAGTGAAGGTCAGGCCCAGGAGATTTCAATTTGAACAAGGACTACATTGGCAACTGTACTAGAGACTGTGTGTGTTGCACCCTGCCAGAAAATTTGTCTACATTTTACTCATGTCCTGAGACTGTGGGGAACTGAGAATAAGAGAAGCAGACTAATACAGTGTAAGAAATTTCCAGGCACCTCAATGTGCAAGCTGTGACAGAGTTACTGCTTGCTGGTTTAGCAAGAAATACAGTAAGAACAAGGAAAAAGGCAGAACGAAATGATTTGAAAAATTTGCAGCTTTGCTAGAATGGAAGAGCCTGCAAATGTGGTACAAAGGAGGGCATGATTTCTGAAAAGATTAGTACTGAGAGAAGTGAAGTATTTTGTACAGGGACAAAAAGAAAGATGTCTTGAGGGTATCTCAGAAGTCATCAAGACTCCACCCATCATAAGATCAAAGGTTCAAAACTAAATCTTTCATTTGATAAAGAGATTCCCAGGGGAATCATTCAGGGCCACATAGGGAAGTGTATCCCCAATTGTACAGGCACTCAGAAGTTGCTGTAGATATGATCCAAGGGAGTCTAGCTACTACCCATGCTGGCAGCTGACCCTTTAATTATCCATATAGTGCTGGTTTTTCAGGTATTCAGTACGCAAGAGCCTTGGGGTCATGGAGGTTTGTACCAAAATTTCACAACAAGGCCTTTGAGTCCAGGCAAAAATATGTGACAAGATCGACAACAACATTAGTCTCTGTCAGGAGCCCATGTGAGGGCAATGTGTGAAGCTATGAGAATGAAGGTAAAGATGTAGTGGAGACCTCAGAAGTTGGAGATACAAACAACATGGAAGATCTCCTGAGGAAAGCCATAGGTAGTGAGTGGACCCACCCCAAGAGAGAGGCCACATGTGAGCTACAACTAATAAGGCTACAGAATTGGGGCTGCCCAAACCCTTTGGAGTTCACATCTCATGACAACCTTCCCTAGGTATTGGACATGCAACTACAGGATTTAAAGTTTTCCCTGCTGGGTTTGGTCTTGCTCTGGTCTGATTCCTTTCTATACTATTATTTCTCCTTTTTGGACTGTGAATTGTGTGTTGGAATGTGCCATTGTATGTTGGAAGTATTAAACTTTCTTTTTTGGTACCAAGGATTAGCTTAGTGTCACTGCACGAAGCTAAAGCCCAGGCCCTAAAATTTCTTTTTGATTTTTACAGAGGGTTACAGCTAAGGGTATGCCTTCAGTCTCCAAGGAAAGCTTGGATTTGGACTTTTCAGCAATGGTGGAACTGTTAAGACTTCAGCACTCTTAGACATGAGTCTTTTGGGAACAGAGGTAGAATGTTATGGTTTAGATCTAAATGTCCCCCAAATTCTCTTGTGGTTGGGAGGTGACTGAATCATGGTGACACTATACTCATCAGTGGATTTATCCATTGACAAGTTCAGTACCTGAATGTGGTGTTAGGAGGTGGGGCCTATCTGAAAGTAGGTAATTGGGGTTGTGACCTCCATGGGTATATTTTTGTTTCCAGATTCTCCCGTAGCTCTGCTTCCTGGCTGCCATAGCTTGAGTACCTTTTTTCTCTGTCATGTCCTTCTGCCATGCTCTTTCTACCTTGGAGCCCACTGACCATGAAATGAAGCCATGAGTCCAAATAAAACTCTCCTCCTTTAAGTTGTTGCTTTCAGGTATTGTGTTCAGTGGTGGGAAAGGGACTAAGATAGGCATGCAACTTGTCCAGAAGCACTGGATTATGTTTAGAAGGGTCTTGTGTCCACTTAATGGTCTGCTGTCACTGTCTTTAAATTCTTAATAAATATTTTTAATAAAGGCATCTGCAGTTGCATTTTGCATGGTACAAATCAGCCAGTTCTGATGTTATCTCAGGTCCAACAAAATTGGTAATACAAAGGAGAGAAAACAAAATACAGAAAGTCTTTTAAACATGAAAACTCCTCTAGAATTGTACTGTACTAGTTATTCATTTAAGCTGGATGTAGTGACACATATGTGCAATTCCAACATTCTGGGAGGCTGATATAGAAAGATCAAGAGTTTAAGCCTAGCCTAGGCAATTTAGTGACTCAGCAATACCTTGTCTTAATATAAAAAATAAAAATAAAGGGATGAAGATGTAGCTCAGAAGAGTTGGTTCAATCTCCAATGGAAGAAGAGGAAGAGAATGAAAAGGAAAAAGAAGATGAGGAGGTGGAAGAGAAAGGAGGAGTGGGAGAGAAAAAGGAGAAGAATTAATTTAATTAGCTTACTTTCCAGTAAATAAATAATGCCCAACAAGTGGAGAAAGTAGGTCTCACGGAGAAAGCGAGTAAATCATTCTAGAGTATGAACTTAATGTCAAACTGAAAGGAGATTGATCCTATGGAATGAGGGAAAGAAAGTAAACAGGGAAGTGAGAATATGAAAATAACCAATACTAATTTATAACACTGCTTATTTGTTACAGTGCATTCCAATTGAACATCAGATAATTGCCAAATAACTTTCTGAAGTAAAAAATACTCACAAAAGTGTTTTGATCATGTATTACAAGAAAACTGTAGCCAATTGTAATTCTACCAAATATGAGATTTTATATAGTATTTTGGTTTAGAACAAATCTAGCACTAAATTATTTCACAGTATACATTAGAAAAATTCAGTAAAATTAGATGTAGACATGTTTTAATCTGTGTTATTTCCTGGGATAACAGGTAATCAGGCAGCTGAGGTCAAGACTTGCCATGCTCTGACAGATCCTGCCTAGCTGCAAAGGACCAATACAGATAGACATAGACACTGCAGAATTATTCAACTTCTGGGGTCATCCATAATAGATTTACATACCAGGCAAGGATCTGGAATTAAAGTAATCTGTTAGGGGCTTCTCTGACTGTCCATATTATTTTTGTGAAGAAACTCATATTCCATTATTACTTTTCACTGAGAGTTTTGATCAACTAGTGAAACTCAGATTTATTAACCACTGTTAATAAATACTACTATTCTTTCCTCCTAAAAAAAAGTCCAATGACAAGCAGCTTTGTTCAAAAAGAATTTTCCAACCCTAGTATAAATGAACTATCTCCTAATAATTTACATATCAATTTTAATAATTTTAATTGTATCAATATTATAATAAAGGTAAACCATATACCAAATATTTTAATTGCACGTAATGTCAAGTAGCCAATTTTACCCCATAACAAAGGCAAATACACATATAATATTTATTTGAATAATTTATAAAATCAGTAAAATGCCATTTCATACCACATGTACTTTACTCTGACTTTACCTGTTTTTCTATGTTTCGAAGAAGTAGTGTAGGGCTGCTTGGTGACATTTCAAAATCTTGTTCTGGTAAAGGCTCTGGACTCCTTTGGGGAACCTGAAGATTCTCTGTAGTATTTAATGAAGGTGCTTGGTCTTCAAACTGTATTTGTTTTTTCAAAATATCTTTTGGAAGCTGACATTCTTCTAGGATCACCATCCCCTAGATAAATAGTGAAAGAGTTGAAATGATAGCAAATCGATTACTAAATCAGCTTTAATGCTACAGTGCACATGAAATTATGCATCCTTGAAAGTACAATTTAACTCTAGAAAATGCCTAATTTAAGAAGTGGTTAAAATAACCCTCTGGCTGATGGGTTGGGCTTGTAATACATTGTCCTAATTTATTCACACACAGGTTTTGTCCTACTGATTTTAAGCATTAGCGTTAAAAGCATGATACATTTAGAATACAATTAAAGGCTCATACTCAGAATAAAGACTTTCAGACTAAGAGTCAAAATATTTCTTGTTATAGTCTTTTTTTTTTTTTGGTACCGGGGATCGAACTCGGGTCCTTGAGCTTGTGCAGCAGGCGGCGAAACCACTGAGCTAAATCCCCGGCTCTTGTTATAGTCTTTTGATATTTTGGTTAGTATTTTTGAGTTTTGTAATGAAAATGAAATTTATAAATTAAAATAGCAATCTTCGGCCAGGGATTTAGCTCAGTGGTTGTGCCACCTGCCTTGCAAGTGCAAGGACCCGAGTTCGATCCCTGGTACCAACCCCTCCCCACAAACAGCAATCTTACAGACATCCAAACAACAACCCAGCTCTATATGAACTCCTTTTATAGCATCCCTATGAGCCTGCCCCTATTGCTAACAGCCAGCAACCATGGGCACCAGTGAGTAACAGTTCTTGCTGCTTATAGGTTAATAAAGACACAGGCTTTCAAGTTCGATAGGGAATTTTCTGTACTGTAAGGAACTGAAAGAATGAGAAGGGCTCTACACGGTTCTGGATTCCCTACTACTCATACATATTTATTCCTAAATTGGTTTGCTCAATCTTTTCTCACATTCCTCATCTTTCTCTTGCCAATGGTTCTCAATCTTAGGTCCTTAGAGGCAATGGGGACAGAAAAGAAAGAGGAAAAAGGTGTGCATAAACATGATCTTAATTGTGTCATGGTAAGTTCTTATCATAAAACTTCTTGTGTTCTACCCTTTCTTCTACCCTTCCTTCTACAAAGAAATGCAGTGTCATACATACAACATACATGCACCCCCACACATATCAAACAACTAATAAGCTCCTATAGCTAGTTGGAGAGCCATTAATGTGGCTAAAATATGTTCTGAATGGAAAATAGTGAAAAGTACTCAGATAAGTGACACTATTTCAAAAATGGAACAAATTAAATGAGTGATGTGGGCCAGCCTGTATTATGTTTAAGTACTATTTACAAGAAGGAAACCACCTATAGATAATGTGTTATTTGTGCATTTTACTTTACACTATCTAGGGATTATATAACTTTTCAGTGGATATATTTTATACTAATACATCTCCACTGACTTTGGTAAAAGCAGTAATTGCATTATTTCTTAAAAATCTACATTTATAGTAATGCTCATATGTTGACTTTTCCAAAGAGAACAGGATCCACTGTTGATCTCACTGACTTATTTTCTTAAAACATACAAATATAACCATCAAGAAATCTAAAGAAATATTACCAAAATAAGTTGTTATTTGCTTTGATATTTGAAAAAGTAAAGTAGATATGATAAATACAGTATCATCCATCTCAAAAAAACCCTAAAGGCTGGGCTGGGGAAGTAGCTCAGAAGCGCTGTGCCTGCCTGGCAAGTGCAAGGACCTGAGTTCAATCCCCAGTACAGGAAAAAAAAAAACAAAAAATGAAAAGCAAAACCCTAAAGATATTCATTCAAAACTTCTACAAGTCTTTCACTAGGTTTTTTAAAACAAGTATCTGTATGTAATAACAACACAAGTGTTCTTCATATCAATTTAATTTTAATTCCCTTGGGGTTTGATTATATTACTGGCCAGTCCACTGCAGATTAGACTCATTCCATAACCCATATTTATATTACTCCCATGGAAAAATCTATCCTGGATTTCAAAAGCCCACTTTCCAAACCTTTGTGATACTGCCTTTTGATAAATAAAGAGCCTGCTCAAATTAGCTCAATCAAGAATGATGTTTTAAGAATTTCACGAAGGATATATACACAGCCAATTTTTATCATCTATTTTTTCCCTTGAAGTGTTGCCTTGGACAAAAAAACCCTGGAAAATAATTGTACTTTTCTAGGTACTAGGATATTTTAGATACTAGAATATTCTAGATACTACAATACTATTTATCCAAAGATAGAAAAAAGGTAGGTAACAAAGATCTCAACTATTTTTAGACAAATGAGTCACCTACAATACTGAAGATAAGTGAAAACTCTAGGATAAAATTGAAGCAGATCATTTGTTCCAGAGAACTGGCTCCCAGCAACATTGGAGAGATCCCCTACCTCCATCCCATACCCCAGGGTCCTTTAGGAAAAAACACTGTGTGAAAAGATAAACAATTGCCTCAGCAACATCTTCATTATTCACATAAAGTCGCCAAAGCTAATTTTAAGCAAAAAATTTAAATGAAAAATTTTTAAACACTCAAAAGATACATTTTAAAATGTGGAAGGCACGACTCTATTACAGAATAACAAAAGAAATCTAAGAGTGATTGGGCAGCCTGTGTGTCTCACAAGAAAAAACTATTACAATTTTTTTCTGAAAATGAGAAAGCTTAAACCTGTGGAAAGTTTAAATTGGTGAAAGGGAAGCAAGGAAAGTTGCAACATGTTGATAAAGCTATTTAAGAATAACCAAGGGATATTGCTAAGAGCTGTTATTTCCTCCTCTCTAAAATTTAAATAAAATTTAGGCCATATGAAGTGTGATAAAAGAGCAAATGATAGCTTAAAGACCTAAAATTTGTGGATGTACTAGGTCTATTCAGTGTCTGTTTCCTGACCTACGGAGAATGTAGACAGGAAATTTACAAAATAGCATCTCTCGATCTCTTTCCCTTTCATTTATTTCTAATTTAACTGAGAAGAAAATCCTTTTCTTTTTGAAATACCTTAAACAGGAAGTTCTGACTCAAGATAGTATGAGCTATCCTTCAATATTTTTTCTTACAATAATTCAAGAAGGTATAAGAGCAGATAATGCTGTTTATCCTATTCAATATAATAATAGCTCCTGTAAGCTGTAAATAAAAAATATTAAACATCTTGATTAATTCATAAAAAATGTATGGAGGAAGTATGAACATACCTATTATATACGACAGAATAATTGCTTGGCATTTTCCATAAAGTAAACTTAACAAGATTTCATTTTCTTGTTTTGCTTTGGTTTGGTTATTTCTTTTCCCCAGTGCTGAGAATCTAACTCAAGGACTCCTACATGCTAGACAAGCACTTTTTTTTTTTTTCTGGTACCGGGGATCGAACTTGGGTCCTTGCGCTTGCAGGCGATGGAAACACTGGGCTAAATCGCTGGCCCTAGACAAGCACTCTTATCACTGAGGTATACCCCTCAGCCCTCATAATACTATTTTAAGAGACCACAGGGCCAGATCCGTATCCACCATGAGTGATGAAAAATGTAAAGTTATATAAATTATTATTGGGAAGTTTAGATTTCTTTTCTTAAAATAATTTATTCCAACAGGCATTACAAAAGAGATAGTCAAACTTTTTTTTTTTTTTTGTTACCGGGGATCGAACTTAAACATTTAAACACCAAGTATATAGTATTGCTTAGAATATATAGAATATTAAAATATTCTTTCTAAAGTCAAAGGAATTTGAACAAAATTGTCTAGAAATAAATATGAATTTTAGTCATCAATTTAACTGGGAACCCACTTTCTTAAAATTTTCCAAATCATTTTATACTTGAATAATTTTTAGAATTCTATTTGTTATAAAAGTTTATGTAATATTACATTTGTTAAAAATGATTAAAGAGAAGAGATTATCTGTGATTTTAAAAGGATTAAGAAATAATTAAAACTGAAGGACCTGTAAAGAAGAGTAAACAAGAAAAAATAACTATGGTGATTAAAAATGAAGACCTACAAGCATAAAGTGTTCTGTCAATTCTTCTATCTACCTTCCTACAAACACCACCATCAAATCCTACAAAATACTAACAATATTCATCACATTCTTAGTTTTCTCTCCCATTCTTGTACAACTCTCACTTTGTGCTTCTCTGAATATCATACTACTTTGTCATTCCTGACACTGATTATGCTATTTCTACTTTCAGACCTTAAAGGAATGCTTTGTTGTGGTTCAATCACCTCATCAAGAAAATTACTTTTTTTTTTTTTTTTTGCATTTCAAGAATTTCATTGAAAGGTATATCTCTTAGTACCAAACATAAAGGTAGTTGGTTAGGTTACCTCTGCCAACTCAAAATTAATACTGATGTTTTCAAAATATTGAAATATATCAGCCTTATGGTAAAACTGAAAGTATCCACAAAACATGGTTTACAAAAAGTTAAAGGTAGAATATATTGTGGTTCTTTGGTTTATTTTTCAATGCTTAGTTATCTGTAACATGATGTCAAAATTGGTTACATCCATTCTGGATAGACTCAGTCTTCAGGCTGCACTGTTTACAACACTACCAATATATGTACATTTCCTTATACTGATTGCCTCATATGGAGAATCCTAAACACTATCTCAGCAGTCTCATAATTATGCTGGTGCCTCCTTACTTTTCTTAAGACACATTATGGAAATTTGTGAAAGTATATTCTGTTCCTTAAAAAAACAAAACAAAACAAAACTGGAAGCAATGGCAGTTTTACAGAAACAGTCCACAATAAAATCTGGAGCACTTTATCTAGCTGGAACTTAGGGTAAAGCAAGTTTTCAGAGTGGTAACTGATTTTGACTTAACTATGTAATATAATAGAACATATTTTTTAAAATGGAACTAGAATAAGAATGAGGAAGTAGATTCTGTAAGAAAATTACTATTTATCCTCTGAAAACCTGAAATATATCACCTCTTTTTCTCATTTGCTCTGAACCTTCTTTCCCTAAGTAGTCTCTTTCACACTTTTTCTATATCCTACTAAAACACGTCTCATTGGACATAATAACATCAA